CCCCCCGGTAGCCGAGCCGTGCCCCGGTGCAGCCAAATGGCTGCGAGTCAGTGTCAGTGAGCGGAACGGCGTTATAAAGATGCCACCCGAGAGCCAAACAGCACCTTTGGAGCAGCTGTCACTGTCCCCACACAGGGAGAGCACTTGAACAAAGATGTTCCCGTGCTTGGAACCTGCTCCACGCTGGAATAGCTCTTGGGACTCTTCCCCCCCCCCCCACTTCCTAGCCTTAAATGTAGCTTTTTTTAGTATGAGCTCTCATTGCCTGTTCCCAAAAATTGGTTTTTGGGATACATGTGCTCTGGCAAGGATACAAACCCCAAGCATCTCCTCCCTGGCCCTTAGAACCTGTGACTTCACCTTTGAGGTTTGTCTTTTGGGGGACTGACACTGACACTAAATTTAGCTGACACTAAATAAAAACGTAATCCCCGCATCTTCAACTAACTCCAGGATTTGTAATCACAGATCAGTTTGGAAAGGACCTTTAAAAGTCCAACTCCTGCCATGGGCAGGGACATCTTCAGTGATGGTGCTAAGCTGCAACACCACAGTCACTCCTGTGTGCTTCCAGCCTGGTCACTCCTGCTACTTAAGAGGAATTTGGGCTTCTCTCACTCCCTTTTTCAGTTTTTATCCCACAGCCTGATCCACTCTTCAGTCTTGCCAGGGGAAGAGGTGAGGCGGGCAGGTCCCAGGACCTGTGGTCCCTCTCAAGGGCTGCCCCAGGACAAGGCATCCCATTTCCCAGGACAGCTGAACTGGCAATGTGCAGCCACAGGGAGAAGGGAAATCAGTGCCACCAAGCCTTGGCCAAGCTCTGTGGGGCCAGGTCCCACCCCCTGCACCGTCCCCTCCAAAGAGGGCTCAGTGCCCAGCGGAGCCAAAGGAAGACAAAACACAAGCGCAGTGCTCAGGCTGAGGTAATAAATACGTCTATTCATGGAGAACAATGCAGCAGTGCAATGTTTTATTGAAAAAAAATAATAATAATCATCTCACTTGATACCTCAGAAGACTGCATCGCAACGTTGGCGGGCTGAGCCGCAGAGAGACACGTCGGAGACCAGCCCAACCCCCAGGGAGCCCCCAGAGAGCCCCCTCCCCTCCAACCCCAGGGTTTCCCCGCTCTGACCGCTCCCAGCAAGGAGAGGAGGGTTTGCCCAGGTTAATGCCCTGCGTCCTACCACAGCATGGCTGGCTCAGTCTGGCTGCATCTCCTCGTCACCTCTGAGCTCCCTGGGGACAGCGGTTCCCTCAAGAACGGGACTTGCTGTTAACCTGCTTTATTTGCCTTTTTTTTTTTTAAATTTTTTGTTAAAAAGCCACCCCACATCTTTGCCCTTTTTTTTTTTGAAGAGTCCAACGTACGATTATAGTGCAAGAGGGCTTGGTACAAGTGAGCATTACCAGCATGCCGTGGGGGGACAGTCCTCCCCTACAAACACATCATCGTAGGATTAAAAGAACATCATATCTCTGGAGAGAAGCCGTAGTGGGTCACCATGAAACAGCTTTCAAACCAACCCACTTAAAACCAAGGTCAGGAAAGTTTCTAAACAATCAAATACATTCACTTAAAAAAAAAAAAAAAAAACTGAAACAAAAGAAACCAAAAACATTTAAGAACAAAACCTGTTGAGATGGCCCCTTTCCCCCCCGCCCTCCCTCACCCTGCAAACACTTACATATGCTGCAACTACAAGCTGCTCCTTGAGCGGAGGCAGCGAGGAATGACCAAACACGGCAGGAGATGCAGAAGGAATCGAGTTCTGGTGACAGGCACTTAGTGGGGCTTGGGAGGGCAGCAACAGAAGTGTCTCAGGGCCTGGCTCCATCTGCAGCAGGCAGGGCAGCTCCTGAGGAGCTCCCATGCCCATGGACCCTCCTCCCAAGACGCCAAACCATGGTTTCCTACAGCAGAGAGGGGAACGCCTGTGCCAGAGACAGGGCTCCTGGGAGCCCCTGGCAGCAGAGGAGTTCGGGAAGAGAAAGGTGGAACGTGGCCACGGTCCCTGTCCTCCCTCTGGCGGGAGGGGACAAGAGGGTGAATGTCCCGGTGGGAGGTGAGGGGTCCCCTTCCTGCCTCCTTCCTGCCCTGGCCCACAGCATGGCTGGAGGAAAGCGCTTTGCAAAGGGAGAAAGGGGTGCATGTGTGAGCTGAGAGCTCCTTGGGATAAGGCATGGAGAGAACATGGCCAAGAGACACCCCGGGGGGATCCCGGTGAGGAGCGAGGCCTTTCTGCTCTAACCAGTGTCCTGCCTGTCTCAGGGATGCACGAGGAGCAAGCCCAGAGCTCCCTGCCCAGGGCGATCTCCTGCCCTCTACACCCACTTCTACCCAGCCCGGGGAACTGAACCTCCTGGGAATGCCACTCTGTGAACTCCAAGCTATGCAGATCATCATTAAAACAAATAAAAGATAATGAGATCTAGTCTCTCCCTTTCCTCCCTTCACACTCTCCAGGATTTTGGGGTGAACCAGGCCCCAGTTTATGACAAGCAAGTCCCTCAAGTGAACAGTCCCTGCCTGGCCTGGTGTCATATATCGAAAGACTAAGTCCAAGGAGCTTATTCACATCGTTCCCAACAGCTGCTCGAGTTCTCCCACAGCCCTGCCACCTCCTGGGAACCCCTGGGCAGCCTCAGCCTCCTCTGATTTGGGAAACACTGCAGCAGGAGGCAAGATTTCCTTGTTTTTACGGGTGTGCTGAGTGCCCCAAGCCCTTTCCTTGCTATTGGTTTGGCTCAAAGTGGTGCAGAACCGTGGCTGCTCTGGGGGGTGGGACGGTGTCCCCCACTCCCAGCCCCATGCTCATGGAGAGGACATAAAGGCTATTCCAGTCAAACCTATCTGACCATCGGGAAATGGGATCAGTGTTAAGGCATGAAGTATCCTCTCCCTGCCAGGGAAGCTTTGCTCCTGCTAAGGTGTTCTCACAGAAGGTTCACAACCACCCCACAGAGGGATTTGGGAACGCTGCCCGGCTGCCCACACTTCGGGAAACGGCTGCTTCCCAGGAACCTCAATCCAGATCTACCTCTTAAACCAGCACAAACTCCTCTGGCTCAGCAAAGCCGATGCCACTCCCTCCTGCCAACACTGGGTGACGGCCTCGCGTCTCCCGGCCAGCTGGGTCAGGCACGGCATAGGAAACCATGGAAGGGACATTCACCGGCAGCTAGGAAGGGTGAGTGGAAATTCAAGTATGCTTTCCTCAGCGTGTGCCCCAAGGCGGGTGTTGGGAGCCCCAGCCTGGCACGAGGGTCCTGGACATCCCCACTCGAGGGCATTCTGTGCATCCACCGCCTTCCCCGCTGGATGTCTGCCTGTGCTGGCGCGGCCACGGAGAGATCCACAGATACAATGTGCATCTGTAAATGCTAAAAATAATAAAAAGTGCAACGACGTCAGCTTCTTTAAAACAATCCACATTGCTCTGTTACCGTCAGAGGAGGGAGGTGTCAAGGGAGCCGGAAAAAAAACCCTAACTGGAACAGTAGATTGCAAATTTCTCACAGCTTGCACATTACAGTGTAACTGTTCCCAAGGAGCCGCAGAGGGAACCTGTCTCTTCCTGCTGCAGCGGTCAGGCCCTTCTCCCAGCAACTCTCCTGCCTGCCTCACATCCTCCTGCCCTCTCGACAGCCAATCAATCCTATTGGATTTCTTCACTTAATTAAGGAGGGAGGAGGACGGAGGAGCACAGAGCGCAGGGGAGGGAGGGGAGGAAAGTGAGCAGGAACTAAGCACAGTCCTCAGGTTTGCGTGAACGATGCCTTCGCCGTAAACAAGGGGAAGGAGGGTCAGCCAGCCAGCCCCCCTCCCAGGGCGACCAAGACCTGAGCCAGCCACAGTCCTGGTCCCAAAAGGAGCTTCAGGCTTGGAGTGAACGAGGGAGACCATTCAGCAGATCCACCCCAGAGTGGTTTGTTTTGGAACGTTTTCTTCTCTTTTTGGTTTAAAATGTCACTTGGTTTTTTTTTTTTGTTTTGTGTTTTTTTTGTTTTGTTTTGTTTTGTTTTTCTCTCTTCCTCCTCTGCCTCATCCTCCTCCTCCTCCCCCCTAAAGAGAAGCCCCTTCCAGTGATTCAGGGCAGGAGCTGCAGGCGCGGTGGTTCCTGCAAGGCCCAGGAGGCACCGGTCACTTGTGACGCTGAGCCGTCTTCTTCCGTTTCCTCTTAAAGAAGCAGCAGCACCTGGGACACAAAGGACAAGGAGAGTCAGCCCCATGCCCAGCACCAAGTCCTGGCAACCCCAGGAAGTCCACACCGCCCCGGGGTCCCTGTGTTGGCCACATGCAACAGCACCTCTGCTCGACAGGCCCGGACACACCTTTGGCCCCTGGAATGGTCAGCAGGGGCTGGTGGACGGTGATCCCACCAGCCCAGACTGGGAGACCACCAGTGAGCCGTGTGGTGAGGGGATCCACCACTGGGCCCCTGAGCTGGCTGGGCTTCTCCCTCCCAAGGCTTTACGGGGGCAGGAACACAAGGAGCCATCTGGGAAAGCAGTAAATCAGTATCCAGGTGCTCTGTTCCCTCTGTCCGACAGAGGAAGCGGACTGGGACAGCGAGCCCTGGCTGCTCTTCCCAGCCATGAGACACATGGTTTTCACCACTGTTCACTAAAAAGACAAGTTCTAAAGAGACCTTGGCTCTGGGACCAGGTTTCTTTACTGAACCTTTCACCAGAGCTTCCACATCGGATCAATCACTCAGCGCCAGGATGCAGAACCCCTGCTTCTTTCCCCATCTGATGCGAGGGAGGTGCACAAGCCCAGGGATTGGGGGAAGCAAGAAGGATGGAGAGTGGAGGCTGAGGTGGGGAGAGGAACGCCCAACACAGCTGCACCATGAGGAGTGATGGGTTCCCTGTGGGATACACTGGGAGCAGTGACCCAGATCCTATAGTCCTGCTGGCTTCCTACAGAATCCCTTGGTGCTGAAGGTGTATCCATCTTCCTGCCCTCAGCCCACTGCCAGGAATACTCTGCACAGGTGCTTGTTCTGTGCGAGTTCTCCTGAGCTATGTGTCTTTCTCCATGTGCCAGGACAGCCACCTCTGGAGAAGTCTGGGTGATGCTGGAAGACTGCTCTTCCAGGCTGGTGGAAGGGATGCCTAGCTAAGCAGTCAGAGTAGACCACAGAATCATAGAAGATCCTGACTTGGAAGGGACCCACAAGGATCATCAAATCCAGCTCTTGGCCCTGCATAGGACACCCTCAAGAATCCCACCGTGTGCCTGAGAGCGTTGTCCAAACACTTCTTGAACTCTGGCAGGCAAATGTGAAGATGCAAAGACCATTTTCTCCCACAATCATCTGTCACCAACAGACTAAAAACATTTAAAACCACTGTAACAACTTCTCCAAACTATTTTCTGCTGGGTCCTTTGTGGAATGGTGGCATTACACCTCCATCCTCTCAGAGCTGGAGGAACAGAATTATTCCTACTCGCATCCCGAAGGTGCTTGTCCCTGGGTGCATGAGCCTTTCTATGGGGTGCAAAAGTGATGGGTGACCACCACCACGCTGTGAGCATGGATTGTCTGTTGAGGAGAGCAAATCCCTGCCACAAAACCCTGTGGGAGAGCCCCCACAGCGCCCACAAGAGGGACTCCTCCCACCGCACGGACTAAGGGCCAGGAGAAAAATGTCCATGGTTTGTCTCAAGGTTCCTGACCAGGCCCAGTTTGGAGGTGGGATGAGGAGAAATGCCAAGCCCTTGTTCTTGCAGGAGCCTCCATCACTGCCCACCCACCCTGAGATGTGTGTGTGCCGCCTGCAGCCCCCCTGGCCCAGGCTGAAACCCCCACTCCAGGACAGCTCTTGTGTTTTGTTGTCCCAGGCCATCTGCCCCCTCCTCCTGCTTTAACCTGTCGCAGTATTTTTCTCCCACAGCAGCCACCTTCCTTCATGACATGGGCAATGGTGGGTAAGGGGGAAGGTCATGGGGAGAGAGGATGGAGGATGCACGAGTGATGGTTTTGCATGCAGCGGGTAAGGGAAGAAGAGGCTGAGCAGCACTTGACTCCTTGGGTACCCAACAAAGGGAGCTGACTGACTTCTGGCTTTTCCTTGTGACTGTCTTTTTAGGCTCTTACTCAGAGGTCCAGGGAAGGGTTCAGGAAAGGAAATCCTGGCAGGTCAGACAGGCAGAGGCAAAACACCAAAATAAAAGAATAAGGCAGGCTGACAATTACAGAACGTGATCTCTCTGCATGCAGACGATGCCCAAGAGAACAGCCCCAGACTACGACATACAGAGAAGCCAGAGATGCCAGAGGTATTGGAGGTGATGCCTATGGAGAGCAGGGCAGAGGCAGTCAGTCTCCCATCCAACAAGGACATTCCTCACAGCACACGGGCCTGGTCCCTTCACTCTGGAGCCATTCCCACCCATCAGCCTTCCCTGAGATACAAATTCCTCATGTGAATCTCCACTTGGTCCCCCCCTGCTTACTGGGTATGTGGCTTCCCCAAGGGGCAGGAGGGAGGGAACATCTCCATGGGACAACCTGAGACTGGGATGCTACAGCTGCAGCTTTGAAACCCTGATAAAGCCCTGAGCTGGGCTTGGACCAGTGCTAATCCCAACCCTTCCATCCCTTCTTTCCTGGAGACATCCATTCACCTGCACCTCAGCTGGCTGAAAAGGAGCTGCCTCCCACCCACTCTCTCCAAGTAGGGGCTCTGTCACTAATGAGGACTCCATAGTCTTGTCTTTCCATCCTCTCTGGCCTGTGCTTCTCCAGAGGAGACTCTCCAAGGAAGTGACTGCCTCCCCAGGATACCCAGCACAGGGTTTTCCCTCCATAATCGTCTGCGTGAGGAATTCCTGCAAGAGGCCCAGCAAGCCTGGTCCCAACTCTGCCCAACTCCATCAGGCATCATCTGCTCAGGGACATAAACGTTTGGGGGAGATGGAAAGCCAAATAGGAAAAGATTAAAGTCTGATTTTACATCCATGTGTTCAGAGATCAGCCGAATTGCTCGGCCTAGTGTGGCCGCTCGGACACAGCCCACACCCTCCCCAGTATTGCACGTGGCCCTAAAATCAAAACAGCTCTGGGTTGGCTTTGACTTTGTGCTTTTTTAGGGTTTGGTGGGTTTGGTTTTGCCAACCCCAGTCTAGTCTGGTCCGCTCCCCCTTGCATGTGGACTGGAGAGAGGGACTCACCACAAGTTGAGCATTTTCAGGCAGCTACAGAGAGTGTAGAGAAAAAACACAGAAAGGAAGAAAGAGCGATTAGTTCACAGAGGTGGGATGGAAGCGAGTCACCACAGCCATGCAAACATGCAGTGCAGAGGCAGACACACACCAGGCCTGCCCGCCGCCCGCCCCAGCCCTCACACCACCTCTGCCCTCGCTGTGGTGCCGCTGACAGCCGCCACCTTCTCCAGGGGTTTTCCACCTTCCCCCTGTTTGCCATGGAGGTACCAGCCCCATCAGGTTCTTATCTGGGGCTGGGATCAGAAAGCGACTCCAGGCCACCATCTTCTCTTGTGCCCTGCAGCTCCAGCAACAGCAGGGCCTGATGATGGATCTACACTTGGAATCAGCCCTCCAGCAGAATCCATGTCTGGGATCAGGAGCTTTTTTCCAGCACACCACAGGCAGAAGCACTGGCACAGCTCTGCCCTCTGGAATGCCAGGGAAAGCCCCTTCTGCTCTTGCACATTGTCTCAAAACATGATGCCCAGCTCCAGCTCCTGCCAGCTTTCTCTGGCACACTTTGCTGCAGAGCACAATCCCAAAGTCCTTTGCCCTTCTCGTGTGCCTGAGGGGATTTCTGATCACAGAAGTGAGGAAAGATGAAGCCAGTGCTCCCCGTGGCAAGCGGAATGAAGAGGACTATGCTTGGGAATTACAATAGACCCCAAAGCTATCAGTGCAAAGCAGCTTATGCTCTGCTTCCCAGCACCGCCAAAACCAATTTGGGAGCACACAAACAAGGGCTGGAGAGAGACAGACTAGCTCCATGTCCCTGAGGGACAGGGCCTGGGCAGCACAGCTCTCCCATGTTCCTTCCCACCTGCCTTGATGTCTCCCCTGTAAATGGAGGGGGGTGTGGACAGTGACCTCACTGCAGGAACATGGGCTGGAGGTGTTCCTGGTCCTTCCTTGCACTGGGTTGTTGTATCAGAACTGTTAAGAGTGACAATGTGCTGCATCCTAGGAGCCACATGCCTGGGGGGGACTCCCTTCAGAGCCCGTGACGCCAAACTGGTGGTCCCTGCCAGCCACACTAAGAGGAATGTTGCCCACTCTGCAACCTGCACCTCAAGATCTCCCCCACCCTGCTGAGCCTGATGAGGAGCCTGCACCAAATCCAAGGCTTGATTCTTGGGCTCAGAGAAGGTGTGCCTGCTACTGCTGGGATCAAGGCCAGGCCAGCTACCAGCGAACAAGATCTGGCACAGGTGCTTCCCGAGGGAGAAGAACAGAAGACCTTCAGGACAACCAGCACAGATGACACATACCCAGGGACCTTTCCCTTCCACATACCCTTCCTTGCACCTGCCAGTTTTCCTCTTCACCCAGGAGTGCCCACAGAGGTTGGGGCAAACGATGTGGGACAAGCAGCACCAGTATCACCCAATCAAATAATAACCAGGCAGCTGGGCCATGTCCCAGCACTGACCAGTTCAAAGGCAGCTCTGGCCCCACTGACCCCTCGCTCGGGGAGTGCCAGGATTCCACAGTGACCCGCCAGGGACCTGGTCTAGTTCAGAGGCAGAGAGAAGGTGCCATTTGAGGATCATGCAAAAGGTAACACGATGGTGCCGGAAGCAGCACGTGTGCACAGGAGGCCAAAATGGGCAGCACAGCAACTCTGGACACCCGTTCTCACTCCTGATCAGAAGCTAGAGGAGAGGTCAGTTCAGAAGGAGCACCTTCTCCCCCACAAGCTGCTTCTGGTTCCTCTCATTCAGCTTCCATAGAGCTGGACCAAGACAACCTACAGGGAGAACTACCCATCCCTGTAGGAGTTACTTTTGCACCGTTCTGGATACTTGGCACTCACTTCTCACAGCCAGAAATAAAGTGTCAACTCTCAGACCAATGATCTCTTCACTGAGCTGTGCTTGAGCTACTCCTACACTCTCAGCACGTTCTCCCTTTGGAAAGGGGGACGCTCCCCAGGACTCCTGAAATCAGCTCCCAGTATTTTGGGATCTGTGCCACCATCTACCTGGCAGGACATGCTCTGAGTAAGAGTTACGTTCTCCAGGCATGACAAGTGTCGAAGAGAAGCAGCAGCAGCAGCAGCAGCACTGAAGGCACCATGCACAAAAGCAGCAATATGCAAGGAAAAGGGCACGGGACACGAGCATCGAGTACTTTCCCACAGGAAAACATCCCCACTCGCTTCCCAGGAGGAGGATTAATGACCAACCAGTGGAAAGCCTGTTGTAAAGCAAACGTACTTAGCTTCCTCCACCACCTCCACCTCTGCCTGCGCTGTGATGGGCGCGTTGGAGTGTGCTCCCGTCGGGTCATCCACGTTCAGCTCCCCGTTGGTCGAGCTCACCACCTAAACACAAAGGAACACCCCGTTAACGAAGCTCCCCAACAAGGAATGCTGTGGGAATGGGAAATCTGCAGGATAACTGCCTGCTCCTGTCTCTTTGCATGCTGTCAGCAGGCTCAGGTTCTGTGGGTGCCTTTCAGTTGCTGGCCTGGTCCATCCCAAGCAGAGCAGCAGGAAGGGGACTGTTCCCTAATTCCCACTCCCATGCCCACCACATGTCGTTCTGGCTTTGGGAGGCCACTTTGGGAGTGCAGCCACTGGTGTAAGCACTGCCAGCCCTACAGAGAGACATGACATAGATAATGTTGATTGTTTTACCCTGATGCTTTTACAGGTGAGTGGCTGATCCTGTTGCCTGGCAGCACCACGGGCAGAAGCCGCTCCAGAGCCACCAGTCTCACTCCTTACACAGCTGGTTTTTGGAAGTATGTCCTCGCCCAAAAGCTATTGACATGGTCTCTCATCTCTTTCTGCCTCACAGCTGCCATGATGGCTCACTTCAGCATTTCCATTACAGTGATGACCATCCAGCTCCCAGCTCGTGGCAGCTGGATGATTAATCACTGCTCCACTGCCACAACAACCACCAAGGAAGCCTGCATGGGATGGAGGTTTGGCTGGCCCTTCCACACTCCAGCTGGATGTTAGGACAGGCACCTGGAGCTGCTCCTGGCTCCAGAGCTGTAAGGATGCCTGCTTCCCCCTCCTGCTCCTCCTCTTCACCTTTCTACAAGGCAAAAGGAGGCATCTCCCGTGAGGGGGGAGTCAAGGTGCTACCCAGAACTCCTGGTGGCTCTGGATGACCTGACCACCAGATGTGAAGGGAAGGGAGCCCTTGCAGCAGATGTCCCCTCACTACTCAGCACATCCATCCATGCTCATTTTGAACACTTCAGTCCTACCAGCAGCTGCTGTTCCTGCCCACCAGGCCCCAAGGAGGGTGGGTCCTGCCAAGGTGGGTCAGGACTCAGCTCATGTGATGCTCAGAGCCCTTGGCTTCTCTTCACCCCTCTCCCAGACTCATCATGCCGTGGGCCCACCCGGGTTCTCCAGACTCCCACGCGACTCTGCAACGCTGGCGCTTAATTGTGCTGTTCCCAGGGCTCTTCCCACACTTTGTTAAGCTACTTCTTCAGTTCCATTTTCCAAAAGGTTTTGATTTTCCTCCTCGCTTTTCATGTGCTGCTGCCTCATCTTCAGGTGACAAATTCATCCTTAAAGGAACCGGTGGCTCAAAGGTGCCGACCCCCCCCAAGGGTGCAGCACGAGCTGGGGTGTCTGCTGAGGAACAATTCCAGTCTCTGCAGCCACACACAGCACATTTTTTGTTCTCAGCTGCATGTAAGCAGAATTTTAATGCTTACAGTGGCACATGGAGGCTCATAAACTGCTTAGGTAGCTGCATTAGTGCTGTAGCTACAAGGAAACCATTCCCCTTACATTAAGAAATATGAATAAAAACATCTACTCGGTACTGAGTGCTGGAGTCATACAAAAGTTTGGGTTGAAAGGGACCTTTAAAGCTCAGCTCGTTCTATCCCCTGCCATGGACAGGGACACCTTCCACTAGACCAAGTTGCTCCAAGCCCCATCCAGCCTGGCCTTGAACACTCCTGTCCCTGTCTGCTCACATCTGAGATCAGAGCTACATATTTATCAGTTCCTCCTTGTCTTTGTTTCTCTGCTACTCAGTAAAATATCTTTAAATGAAAAAAGGAACATGACTAATCAAGCAAAAAAAAATCATTCAACCCAATCAAGTATCAGGAAAAAGTAAACATTTCAACCTAATCTGCATTTCCCTAAGGACATCCTGCACTACCCGTGTCCTCAGCTCAGCTCTGGCCCACTCCAGGTACTAATTCCCATTTCACCAGAGCCAATTTTCAGAGTGTTGTGTCTGACAGAAAGTGAGCTCTCACAGCAAACCTCTGCCAAAGAGGCAGTGATATCAGTGTTCCTGTTTGCTTGGGTGATTCCTGCACCTTCTCTCCAGCACATCCAGCCAGCTCACTCTGGCAGCAGTGTAAAAAGGTCCCTCAGTGAGCCTGGGTGACAACCTGACCAGGTAGGACTTCACAGAGTCACAGAAGGGTTTGGGTTAGAAGGGACCTTAAAGCTCATCTTGTTCCCACCCCCTGTCAAGGGCAAGGACACCTTCCACTAGACCAGGTTGCTCCAAGCCCCATCCAACCTGGCCTTGGACACTTCCAGGGATGGAGCAGCCACAGCTGCCCTGGTCAACCTGTGCAAGGGCCTCACCATCCTCAGGGAGAAGGATTTCTTCCCAATATCCCATCTAACCCTGCCTCTGGCAGTGGGAAGCCATTCCCCCTTGGCCTGTCCCTCCACACCCTTGTCCAAAGTCCCTCTCCAGCTCTCTTGGAGCCCCTTTAGGCTCTGGAAGGGGCTCTAAAGTCTCCCTGGAGCCTTTTCTTCTCCAGCTGAACATCCCCAGCTCTCCCAGCCTGGCTCCAGAGCTGAGGGGCTCCAGCCTTCAGAGCATCTCCATGGCCTCCTCTGGACTTGTTCCAACAGTTCCATGTCCTTCTTGTGCTGCTGGACCCCAGAGCTGGAGGCAGCTCTGCAGGGGGGGTGTCACCTGAGCAGTGCAGATGGGCAGAATCCCCCCTCCCCTGCTGCCCACGATGTGGGATCAGCCCAGGGCACGAGGGGTTTCCGGGCTGGGGCATGTCCAGCCTCTCATCCACCAGCACTCCCAAGTCCTTCTCCCCAGGACTGCTCTCTGTGTGTTTATCCCCAGTCTGGATCGATACCATGGGTTGCCCCAACACAGGTGCAGCACCAGCACTTGGTCTTCTTAAACTGCATGAGATTCCCATGAGTCCACTTCTTGAGCTTGTCTAGCTCAAGACATTGTTCATTCCTTGTTCATAAACAGGAATTTTTCAGGAATTAAAAAACTTACTGGTAGTGCCACCTCCAACACTGTCACACCCCTTCCAGTGCAACCATCCAGAGATGCACCTTGTGGCCACCATGCCCTTGCACTGGTGCTGGTCTGCTTTGGAACAGCTAAACCCTTTTCCCAACATTAATGGGGATTATCTCCAACAAACTCTATTTCAGTTGCTCATACCACCCAAGAGAACCTCCAAGATGGGAGAGAGGGTGCTTTATAGGCCAGACCTGCTAATACACACATACATGCTGCTTCCTGGCCTCGGTTTGACAAATCTGAGTTCAAAACAGCACTTGGAGGAGAAGCTTCATCAAAATGGTAACATCAACAGTTGCCATCACTTGCCACAGCTTGGATCCCACAAACCCACGGCCTGAGCGTTACGTATGGGACAGGACCAGTGAGATCACTCTCCTAACCACAACCTTGCTGTAATTTGAGGAGAATTCAGGGAGTTTAACACATCAGGAGGAAGAGGTACCTGCACTGATCCTCCGTGTCGATCTGCAGCCAAATGAGATGTCAGGTACGAGGTATTTGTCTGCCGGCTCGGCTGGATCTCCCACTCTCCTCGGCGATCTGACGACGCCTGCTCATGAGTTCAGAGGCACGAGAGAAACAGAAGAGAGGGCAAAAGGTGAAAGAGAGGAAGAAATAAAAGGGTGTTGGTTAGTGAGTTAGTTTCTTTGCAAAAAGCAAGGCATTTACACTTCTAGCTGGGCTAGAATTTCCCTTTCCCAAGTGCACCTCGTTATTTACATCTGTGGTGGCTGCAGTGATCCACTGCTGGAGTGGATTTTGTCTCCTCTGGCTGATGAACAAAGAGGAAGATCTAGTCCAGAAGATCTAGTCCAGAACTTATTTCTTTCCACAGCTTCATTTCCATGTATTTCAGCATAGAAACAATCACACTGCCAACATTTCACTCTGTCTGTCAGGTCACACACACCAGAGCACTTGGCATGGCAGCAAGGTTGGATAAACGAGCTGAATATCCCTCAAATACGTAATTTTAAACTCAAATTTGCAACGTAAAACAAAGCCAAACACTTCATTTCACCTGTTCCACACACTGATTCACCTGTGCAGTGCAGAAGGAAACATCCACCACACCTGCTTGACTGGAGAGAGGGTTGGGGGCTTTTTGGGTTTCTGCAGAAAAGTAGATAAGAAACTTTTGCTAACAAGTTTCCTCTCTGTCCCAAACAGATGCAAACATCAGGTGAGTAAATTATTAGAATTTTATTTGTTTAATTAGAAGAATCCCTTTGCACTTGCACGAGAAGCTTCTGTGGGTCACCCATCTTTGATGACAACACATCCAATGCTCACCTAAGACTCAGGAGTATCTCAGTGCACCTGAACCCAACTGACCCAAGCGGGAGGAACACAAGACTGGGAAGTGTGGGACAAACAAATCTGTGTTGGCCTCAGCTGAATGAGACACCACGGATCTGGCCAGGAAACAAGAAACTCCAGTGAATAAACACCAGGTTCTTATCAGTGAAGGTGAAGCAGTAACCAAAGAGAGGTGCCTGGTACACAGAGAGACTCCAGAAGTCTCTGAAGAAACCTCAACATCCACTAGTAAATTGTCAGTCTACTAGAGCAGAAGCATATCCAAAAAGTAGGAAAATTAAAAGAGAAGTCCCCTGGCATTTCATAAAACATCTGTTATTGTTCCCTTTGCTCTGACTCCCTCCCAGAGTGATCCATGGTGCTGCTCCTCCTTCCAAGCAGCCACCAAATCAAGGTGCTATTTCCGTATAGGTGGTCTTGTTGTATGATCTGGAGTGGTTTAGGTTGGAAGGGACCTTAAAGATCCCTGGTTTATCAAATCTTCTTACTACACATCCTTCCTGTCAGCCTGAGACACTGCTCATGCTTTTTGTCCTTGGTGACACACTCAAAGGAGAAGCACCTCCCTTGGAATATTTTTTAATGGCTGTAAGTCACAAGAACAGGAACAACTGGAGAATTTGAATGAAGGTTTTACAAGCTGGTGGAAGGCAGATCCTGAGTGCTACTTCTTCCACTCGGGTGCTTGGCCAGCCCAGGGGATGAAGCAGTACCATGGTACTTCAGCACTGGGTGAGGCAAACTCCTGCCCAAGGGCCTGCAAGCATTTTCCAGGAAAGGCTTCAGTAGCCACAAGAGCAAGATTTGTCTCTTTTTTTTTTTAGTTCTACAGCCAAGTATGTGACAAACTGGGTTTGAAGTCAGCTTGAGCTGAGCCCAAAGCAACCCAAGGAGTGATACTGAGGAAGTGATGCCTGTGAAATTTAGAATAGAATAGAAAAGAGCAGAATAGAATAGAATATCCTGAGTTGGAAGGGACCCACGGGGAACACCGACTCCAACTCCTGGCCCTGCACAGGACAATCCAACAATCCCACCCTGTCCTGAGAGCGTTGTCCAAAAGCTCCTTGAGCTCTGGCAGCCTTGGTGCTGTGCCCACTGCCCTGGGGAGCCTGTTCAGTGCCCAACCACCCTCTGGGGGAAGGACCTTTTCCTTCCCAACCTAACCCCCCCAACACAGCTTGGGAGTATCGAGTTCCCATTAACACTCATCACCTTCCTCCCAGCTTCCAAATCACATGACAAGACCGGCACTTAAAGATGGAGAGGGGCAGAGCTCGCCCATCTTCGATTAAATACCCTCACTTCCCAGAGGAATGGGCTACAAAAAGGACATCACACACGTCAGCTCTTTACTGGGAGTCAAGTATTGTAAGAGATCTGCAGTTATTATACCCAAGAACAAAAAAAAGGCCATTAAATCTGGAGACCCAAACCCACGCCTCCAATTCACACTTGAGATGTTTCTTTTTTCTCATTTTTCCTTTAGAGAAATCTTTTGCTCAAGACTTAAAAGGAATGTCCCTTGGAAGAGAGATGTTTGTGTTTTGGTGAGAAGAACCTGATTTTCCCTGTGTTATATTAAATAATTCATCATCCTAAGTAATGTTTAAGTGAAAATATGACAAAAGCTGCTGTGCAATCCCACATTCGGACTATCTGTGTGGCTCAGAAGAACAAGCTGCCTGCATGCTTTGGGACTAACACAGATTTCTTTGGACCTCATACTATAATTAATAAACTAAAATGCCTGAAAACGAAGCCAGGTGTCACTGTCCAGTCAAGGAAACACGATGCCTCACACATACACACCATGAAGGTCTGTGGTCGAGGGGGACAACTGGGGGGTTAATGCAGCAATCAGGGAATTTATTAAAGCAGATTATTGTGGCAGGGCTCACACAGCAGCCCACAGTAATTACTGCACAAACACTGCACTGCACGTGCTGCAAACCACCCGCTTTCAACAAGGGGTGTTCACACCGACTGCAGCTGATGGATTGGGATGTATCCTAGTCTAACGTAGTTGCTCGACCCTTCATGGCCCAAGGAAAGCTGAGGCCAGACAGGTTATGACACCTCACACGTGGTGTTCCACCCCTGAACCCCAGTTTGAGGAGCTGTGTGGGGGCAGCACCAGCAGGCAAGGAGCTGAACAGGACAGAGGTTGGAGGAGCAGAGCAAGCCCAGATCCACTCCCTGGGAATAAGAGCAGCAACAGCTCCAGCCAGGAGCCCCAGCTGGAGTTCTACTGAACATCTGAGCACTTCTGTTAACATAGAAAATCCAAACTCTCAACACCAACAAAGCAGTACAATGAGAAAGGAAAAAATGGGGCAACTAAAATTCAAATCATGGCAGTTCATCTGGACCATGATGCCCAGCCTTCCCAAGGGTGCCTGCCCTGCCAGTCCTTTGTGCTCTGCAACACTCACACCCTGAACTGGACATTCCAAGAAGGATACATGGGAGTATATGGGACACAGATCTCTACTGCAGCCACGTGCTCCGTGGGCAGAGGGCACCTGGGACAGGCTGCTATCGCCACACCTCTCAGGCTACTCTACATCCATGTGCTGTGAGTAAAAGCACCCCAAAAAATGTTGTAGGTCAGGGCTGGATCACTGACTTAACCAGCTTACACACAAACTACAGACAAACAACCCATTCCAAACTGGAATCCACTTGGCTCATGAGGAATTCCACTGGTCGATACAGTATTTCAACAACCTGTTGCTTTGACAAAATTCTCCTCAAATCACAATCTTGAACTGAAGCAGGGATTGTCCTTGTCATGACCAAGAATCAGTCTCAGCCATCTATAATGTCTGCTTTTCCAGTGCAAGAGGAATTCTGGGAGGGAGCAACACACCTGATTGCGAAGGGCCTGCTGGGATGGTCGATCCCGGTGGACGTGGCTGTCTCTTGTTACTGCAGATGTCCCAGAATCTACGTGAACAGATCCCACAGGAGTAGGCTGGAAAACAGGGTGTTGGTTAGGATGAAGACTCTCACATGCACAGACCCGCCATGTCAGGAAGCAGGAAAACATCAAAACACTGCTCAAAGGTAATAGCCAAGGAGAATTACAGCCAGGGCTATAAAATCCCTGTGACTTGATGGCCATGTGATTTAACGGTGGACACCAGCCCCAAATGTCTTGTATAAAAATTAAGAAGATATTGTTAGGTGTCAGTCTCGGTGTCAGATCACACCTAATGCGTCTCACACGGGGTTATTACAACTGAAAATATACAGACTTGTTTTCCTCATCCCCTCGTCTCACCACTTGTAAAAATCACGCTTGCACAGAAACAGGACGTGTTAAAATTAAAGCTTCATCTGCTCTCTCCTCACCAAAGTCATAATCCCTGCTCCCAACACCGAGATCTCCATAGCAACCACCGCGGTTGGCAGCAGTAGCACGCTTGTCTTACAAGGTGCTCTTTATCAATTGCCTTTGTAATTAAAGAAAAATGAGGAGAAAAATCTTGATTCACAAAGGGAATGATTTCTCAAGAACTGTTTTGGGCACAGTAAACATTGGGAATGCTAAATATAGTTGGGACAGTAAAGCACCAGCAGCAGTACCTAGTTCAGCACTGAAGACAATGAATTTACAGGTGTCATTGCTGGTGTTTGGGGTAGGTCATCAGCAGAAGCAGCCAAACCAAAGAGCTTTAGACTTTTCTACCACATTTCCTTATGACACAGCTTTTGGCCAAGTACAACTGGCTTTTGACAAAGAAAGCAACACAATGAGATCAGGGTTACAGTCCACATGGAGTCATGGAACTGCTAAATGGAGCTTGGTTACTCCAGCATTTCCTTGTCATGTGCCATACAGAGCTGGTTCAGCCTGTGAAGTGTCTGCCAAGATATTTTGAGCTCAGGAGGGAAGGGTTAGATTAGATATTTGGGAGAAATTCTTCCCTGTGAGGGTGGTGAGGCCCTGGCACAGGTTGGCCAGGAAGCTGTCTGTGGCTGCCCCATCCCTGGAAGTGTTGAAGGCAATCTAGGACAGTGGAAGGTGTCCTTGCCAATGGCAGGGGTTGAGAACAAGATGAGCCTTAAGGTCCCTTCCAACCCAAACCATTCTGGAATTTTGTTATTCACTGAACATCCATCAGAGATGATGAGAACTTGACCATTACAGGAGTCTTCTATGATTCTCCTGCTTTAAGATGGATTTTACATGGTTGTCTCCAATCCTGTGTTAGACTAGAGGGAATTCAGTCTGGTCATGTTCACTGTCACAAGCGGGGAAGTGGGGCTTGAATATCCTGCCAGTGCAAACCTGGAGAGGTGGGAAGGGGCCTTTGTCCCTCAGAGGAACTTTGAGGCACTGACAGAACCCCCTGAACACAATGTCAGGACACTTCGCTGTGTTGAGAAGTAAAAGATTTGACCCTAAGCTCACTGGCATTAATTGGGATTACCAGGGACAAAGAGGCAGAGGTGTGGAAGCAGCCCCTGGGAGGCAAGGCGGGGGATTTCACAGGGACAACTCACAATTGGCCTGCCGACCCAGTCATAGGCATAGTCAAAGGTGTAGCCTTTCTTCTCGAACAGCTCCGTGAAGATGGTTCGCAGGTAGTCGTAGTCTGGCCTCTCAAAGAAGTCTAATCGCCGGACGTAGCGGAGGTACGTGGCCATCTCCTCTGTGGGAAAAGGGAAAGGCAGCAGCTTTTATCCTGAATCTTCCAAATGAGCTGTTAGAAAACAAGGTCAATTCACGCTGTGCAAGAATTGTCTGGGCTGCCAGCACTACCTCTGGCTTTTCCTCTACAAGGAGCAGTTTTTAGTAACAGCCCACAATGGAAAACAATTCAAACACTTCTCAAGCAAAGATGGAAGTCCCACCTCTGCTCTACCTCACATCTGACTGCCACACTTGGTTTTATTCTATATCTTTGTATAAAATAAACACAATGAGAAATAAACTCACTGAACCTGCCAACAGGCTGCTCACACGCATTTAAAATGTTGTTGCCCAGAGAAGCTGTGGCTGCCCCATCCCTGGAAGTGTTCAAGGCCAGGCTGGATGGGGCTTGGAGCAACCTGGTCTAGTGGAAGGTGCCCCTGCCTCTGGCAGGGGGTGGAACGAAATGAGCTTTAAGATCCCTTCAAATACAAACCATTCTGGGATTCTGGGATTCTCTGAGTCTATAAAATAGCCACTGACATCTCATATGGGGAAGGAAAGCAGGAGATGTTGGTGAGAACATCCAACCTGAAGCTGTTGTGCTTGGAACTAAGTGGATTTTGGAATGACACGTCTGGGGAATTAGCATGACTGAAGTGAACAATGATACCTTTCCAGGACTGCTGGTCCTTATGCTGGGAAAGAGCCATGTGACACAACAGCTCCTACAGGAATGGGATTAGTCTTGGTTCTCTCCTTCGTGTCAGGACTTCAGAAAACACCCAACATCCCCCCACACACACTCTGTGAAGGCCACAGGGTACCTGGGGAGGGCTTTAACTTTGTATCCTGTTTAACTGGAGAAAAGGTGCAGGGCGTGGCTAGAAGCACATCTTTAGTTAACAATCCCCTTAAAACTGCTGTCAGAAGGTGGAATTCAAGGATTAGACACACCATTCCATCTTCCAAGCTGGCCACCTACACTTACAAAACCTGTAAAACCGTGCATTTGGAAAAGAATTAATTAGGTACATCCAACACAGTCATTTGGGAATGGGAAAATAATGAGGACCTCCTTTGGAAGGAAGCCAAGAAGCTGAGTTACACGAGGCCCTTGAGCACTGTCCAGGCTCCTTGATGGGAAGAGTTAAGCTCATTTTAAGCCCTCAGGCCCTGCTAATTTATAGCAGCAGCTCCAGTTGTTTTCCAGTTTGAGGAACAACATGATGCACAGACATCATCCAAATACTTTCTGTCAGAGGGGTTCAGGACCATCCTATTTAACAGAGGTCTGTCCCCCTCCAGCTGCACTCACACAGTCCCATGATGGCTTTACCTGGAAAGTTCTCACAGAGAACTTCAACCGGAGTGTTTCTCTTTGTGTCCCCAATCTTCTGATACCTCTCTTTTAAGGTGTCAGCCTGCAGCGCACAAAGACAAAACAGTTGTGGAGAAAGAGTTCAACCATGTGAGAAAGGACATGCTGTATGGGAAGAAAAACAAGGTTTTTAATGCCCGTTCTGGGTGGTATCAGGAGATGTTACTTGTAACTGAACTGCCTCCTGACTACACTGACAGGAACATTTTATGGGCTTTGGGCAGAGAAAATCCAAGGCCGTGTTCAAAACATCCTCATTAAGGAAAGGCAGGACGCTTAATAGTGTCTTACAAGGCTCCCTTCTCACAGTGCAGCCCTCAGGGCCGTGCAGGGAAGGTTTCATGGGAGAAGCAAACAAAGCTGCAGGAGCTGGGATGGCACATCAGTACCTCCCCCAGGCACAGGGCCATTGGCAGCTGAGCTGCCTCCACAAACGTCTGCAAAATATATCCACTGCAAGGGCAATTTGGGTCTTTCTGGGTGTAACAGAAAGACACCACACAGATAACAACTTACATCAGTCACACTTCTCCCAAATCCCACGCTGCTCCCACACTGCCTCTCCTTTCACCCCCAAACTGCCTATCACTGAGACAGCACTGACCAAACATCTGGTCATCAAGGAAATGAAACAGTTTGCAGTTGGATTTCCCCCTAAATCCCCTCTGAAGCACAGAACTCTGCTCCAGTTGCACCCTAAAAATGGGGTTTATTGCCTTCATTTCAAAATATGCCAATTAGACCTGGCAGCAGCTTAATTAGCATCACAGATGTTCTCTCAAGATATGGCACTGACAGTACAGACCAAAAGTGTGAGCTGAGGAAACCTAGAAGAGCCACAAAGCTGTCCCATTCTAGGTCAAGCTGGAGAGCCTGAGTTTGCCCTGGAACTCAAAAAGGAGTCAACTAATTCTTATCAAGTTCAGCACCAAACTTAGGAACTTTTGTAGAACCTTGTCAAAACCTGGAACTATTTTAGAATAATTTACAGGATTAATTTAAAGGAGATGAGTTCAGCTAAGCCAGAAATATGTACCAGAATAACACACAGAGGCGTGAATGTAAAGTCAGAAACATTCTGATTTCTTTCAAGACCCTTTCATGCTTGAAAAACCCTTTCTTTGCTTTTTCTGCCATGTGTCTGATAAGGCTGAGCTCAGACTAACTCTGGATAGGTGGTGACAGAAGAGCTTAACAAGGTCTATCACCCAAGCTGCTTCCACTGACCATTGCAGTGTCCTGCTGAGCAGCTCCTGAGCCCAAAACCTCACCTTCTTTTTTCAACAGGAGTTCTTGTCTTCACTAACAAACCTTCTGCTATCCTGATCAGATTTGGTGCCTTCGCTCCCTGCAATTCCAAAGCTGAACACAGCAGCTTAACCATCAGGGAGGTGATGGAGAAGTGAAGATGCAGCTTCCAAGAGCTTCAGAGCCAGGAAATGACTCGCTCCTGGTTAACTCAGCTGATGGATGTTGGCGGCACTCAGTAACTCAATTGCCTGCAGGCCTCCTCATTGTACACGGCATCCCATAAACTCCTCAGCACTGAGTGTCCAGCGTCTCTGGAGGGAAGCCAAGCTCAATCCTTCTGCCAGAAAACCAGTTTTTCAAGCTGAAGTCCATCTGTTCATCTAAACTCATCAAACTGCTCCCATTATAAACACAGATCCCAGATGCAGCTGGAGGATTGTGTGCCCTAACTGGAATTTCATAAACAACCACTGTGTCCCCGTTGCGCTCCAGCTCGGGGCAGCTTCCAACCACAGCTCTCATTGCTATCCCTGAACCTCTGCTCAGTCCTCTCTCCAAAACTGTACCAGTTTGGCAAATCGAAGTGCCAGGTGACATATTTCTACCTTAAAATCTTTCCTGTAGCTAAAGTTAATGCCTCGTCCTTAGACTTCAAGGACGTAAAGGAGAGGACAGTGTTTCTGGCTGGGTTTTGCCGATGTTTCCCCAGTGGATTATCCTTTGGGCAGAGACCAGCAGAAGTTTTCAAGGGTAAAACCTAAAGCTCCAACCTACCTTCAATCCCTGCCAGGGCAGGCTGCCTCGGAGGAAATACATGAACATATGGCCCAGGGCTTCCAAGTCGTCTCGACGACTTTGCTCTAAAAGAGAAGAGATGACAAATCATTGCTGCAGAGGCAGAAATGGCTCTGAGATGTCCTCAGCAGCCACACCTGTATCTGAGATAAAGGTATCACAGGGACGTTCCCTCGCTGTCTGCAGCTCAGATCTCGTGCAAAACCACCTAGAAGCTGTTTCAAAAAACCAGAAAATATGCAAAATCAGCTGGAAGGCATGAGATAACACACGAGCTGTACGACAAACAGCCCAGACTGTCTGGGATAAGTCTTAATTGCAGAGGAATAAAGCAGTTCCTCAATCCTTCTCCAGCCTGCCAGTGTCGATGGTGCACCTGCCATGTGGGGCTGGATCATTTCCTCTGGACTCCATGGGAACAGGGGATACTCACAACCAGCTGCAGGGAACTACCCTTGCACAGTGCCAACCCTTTTGCAATCACTCCTGCATCTCATTGCATCAGAGCAGGTCTAAAATAGCTCCTTCCAGAGCTGTGAAACACTTGCTGCTGTTGCCATGCAGATGTTCTGATTATAAATGAAGGGGGGGAAAAGGGGCCTCGAGCCAAAGGAAAAAGGATCGTTAAAATAAGCTGCCAAAATGTATCCAAAAACTCAAGGGAGGATAGAAGAGAACAACAAATGTGGAGTCAACAGCACAGGACTGGGGCTGGGCTGGGTCCTTGGGTTTGCTGAGCTCACAGACTGATTTGGTGCAACATTCTCGCCTCCAAATCTCTATCTGCACCAAATGATGTGCTCCACAGCCACATCCCAGAGCAGATCAAGCCCACAGGCCATGACAGAAGTGAGCTGGGCCTGCTGCTGCATCATCTGCACAAGAGGAAGGCAGTGTTTTGCACAGCGTGACTCCTTCACAGGCAGCAGTAACTTAACCCTCAGCAGATGCTGGGAGTGAGAAACACTCATGAGAAGGGAGCTGATATGACAGTTCCTGCAGGTTATCCTGATAAAAAGGAGAAAAAAAGAGGATGTCCTGGGTAATTCAGTGCAATGATGAACTTCTCAGGAAGATGGTTGACTGCACCTGTCTCTCAGAAAAACTGCAATCAGACGCCTTAGTTTTAAGTGTGAAGGGACTGATTCTGCCTGGGCTGGTCTTACCAGTGAAGCATCAGCCCCTCAAAACCCCTCCGGGCAGAGACAGCCTTCCCTGGCTGGCAGCCAGCCCTGCCCTCCTCAAATACAACCCCAGAACTGACTCTGACCCTTTCCCTGCACAAGCCCCAGCGGGAGCTGAAAACATGCAGGGAAATGGGTCCTAAGGAAGGCATGTGGTGCACTTCAAACACAAACACATCCTTCTTCCACATCACCTGCACCAGCAGCTTCCGAGCCCACTCCCTCTGTGCTTCCCATTCCCCCACCCCTTCCTGACTCTTCACTTTCCAGCATTAGAAGTTGGGCTCATCCCTCCTTACTCCCCAGAGAGAGCGAGCTCTCCAAGTGAGGTGGAAGCCAGAACACTGGGAGGCCATTCAAAGAACATTCCATTATCTTCCTTTTTTTTTTTTAGGGGTTTAAGTGAATATAAACATTTCATAAGGTGAATTTTTGCCTTTCAGCCACAGAAATGTAATCTTATGGTATAAGAGAAAGCAGCGAGGAGAGGAGATGAAAGCCAGGTTTAAAATTAGTTAAACTATTCATTTTCTCCAACCAATTACTAGGTCAGGGAACATCCAACTCTAACATCTGGAAGGTACTGAGACAGTGCTGTGCTATAAAAATCTACTTGTCCATCATTTAGTGTGGCAATCACCGCCTGCCTGCTTGTCTTTTATCAGTGCAGGGCTGCTCCCAGTTATTTAGTTCTCAATAACAACTATAATTAAGAGGCTTCCAACATTTCAGCTGCCTCAATTCCTCAAAAGAGGAGGAAAAAAGCCTCACAACTGTAAACAGCATGGCAGCATCAGGAGGTTCACAAATAGCTTGAAGAGCACAAGAGAGCTGTAAGCCAAGACACCATCAGAGCCCTACTGGACTCACATGGCAAGTTGGAGCGTGTCCAGAAGAGGGAATGGAGCTGGGGAAGGGGCTGGAGCACCAAGAGCTGCTGAGGGAGCCTGGAGAAAAGGAGGCTCATGGGGGACCTTCTTGCTCTCTCCAACTCCCTGACAGGAGGGTGGAGCCAGGTGGGGGTCGGGCTCTGCTCCCAGGGAACAAGGGACAGGACAAGAGGAAACAGCCTCAAGTTTTGCCAAGGGAGGTTTAGGCTGGATATTAGGGAAAATTTCTTCACTGAAAGGGGTTGTCAAGTATTGAACAGGCTGCCCAGGGCAGTGGTGGTGTCCCCATCCCTGAAAGTGTTCAGAAGCCTTGTGGATGTGGCACCTGGGGACAGGGGTTAGTGGTGAACTCGGCACTGCCGAGGGAGTGGTTGGATACAATGACCTTAGAGAGCTTTTCCAGCTTAAGTGATTCTGTGACTCTTGGAGCTCCCCCTGAGCAGACAGACCTTTGCCAAGGTGGGTGTTGATGGACATGTATCTCGCCGTTCCAGTTAAGCTCTTGTGCTCCCTGTAGGGTATGTGTTTTTTGGTTTCTGGGTCAATGTACTCCTTCGCCAGTCCAAAGTCTATGATGTGGATGACGTGCTCCTTCTTATTGCCTTGCCGGCCAATGAGGAAGTTTTCTGGCTTCACATCTCGGTAGATGAGGTTCTTGGAATGCACATACTCCATCCGAGAGATCTGCAGAACGACAAGGAAACGGTTATTTGGGAGCAGACCAGCCACCGGGAGAGATGGAAGAGGAATTTCTCATCCCCTCCTCTCCCTGGCTATTGTGCTGTGCTCCCTGACTTTATTCCCACGGAAATGGCAAAAGCTGTTTATGAGGCGTTACCGCCGGGATGCAGCTCTTGGCAGGAAGCCACGGGGAACTGCAGCAGCCTTTTTGTATTGATTTTAAACATACTAAACCAGTTACCAAGTGCTCTTCCCTTGCCCACCGCCTTCCCTTGTTGCTCTGTGTCTTACCACCTTCCTCCCTCAACCCATATGTTGTCTTAGACACGCCAGATTCTTCATGGAGGGGGATTTCTGGGCAGGCAGAAGATTTATGATCCTCAAAGCTGACTAAAATAATAATTAATCTCACTGCTGTCAACTAGGAATAGCTGGAATATTTGTCAGCTTTTGACGAACATTGTTCTGGCAGCATGACTGAAAGGGAAGGTGAAAGGGCAGGAACCCCACTTCCAAGGTGATGGAGGGCCTCCAACAACACACCTTGTTCAGAAGTTCACCATTAAAATTGCTTCTGAACCCAAATATATTGCAGGTGATGTCTGAACAGGTTGCCAAGCAGTTCTCCTTTGAGTCCCTAACTTAAGAGATGATTCCAACTGGAAATAACTCTCAATTCATTTTAATTTATGAACTCTAACTGCCTTTTTAGTTTTTAAATGAGAACACATGAATCTCCATTTCGGGCTGTTCTGGTCGCAGCTGCCCCACCTGCCGTTGGACACGGTGGCTTTGGTAAGCAAGGCACTTGTTTGGAGAGGCCACTGGGATTGACCCACATCCACGTGGGCTTGCAATACTATGACACCACCACGAAGCTCCCACAGACTCCCAGTTTTGCACTAACGAGTGTCAGTCCCCAGAGGTCAGTGCCGCACTGCTGTGATGGATGTCAGGATGGCGCCCTCAGGTTTGGGGAACATCTAAGGCAAGAGCCACCAGCTGGTCATCCCCTCTGAGTGGATCCCAGCAGGAAAGCTCCACAGGTTGGAGCTCTGGATCACTGAGCCAGCTCTCCCCAGGCTGAAAAGCAGAGAACCAACACCCCATCAGCCCTTCCAACCACCCCGCTCGCCATGACTGTGAGCACTGCTGGGCTGACAAACCCCACCTGCTCCTCCATTTCTTGCTGAATCCACACACCAATCCACGGGGCAAATCCAGATCATTCTTTCTCTTCACAGACCTTGGATCCACACCTGGCTTAAAGCTCCATGTGTGTGTGATCCCTCCATCCAGCTCCCAAGCCCTTATCAGGTACCTGATTTTTAAGGAAAACTTGCTGCATTTCCACCTCTTGGAAAGAACAGGCAGGAGGGGGCAGCACTCCTTGTAAAATAAGCAGCTCTACAAGGAGGGCAGCAGACAGGAAAAAACTGGCTGCAGGTGAATCAGGATTAAAAAACAGGACTTGCTCAAAGGCTCTTCAAAGAAGGAACCGGCACGTGCTGCCGCTCCCCTCCCCTCCACGCAGTGATTGATTTCAATGTGCTGGGAAAATGGGTTTCACGGCTAACAGCCATTATTTCCAATCAATTACAGGCTGATGCAGAGCAGAGCAGATGCTCTTCAGCCATTCTTCACGCTTTGAATCATCTACAGGACACAGCAGCAGGTTGGGAAACAAAAAGATACGTCAGGAGGCAATTCAAATGAAGATGCAACCCTTGAAAGTGGAACAAAGCACTTCCTCGCCTCTCCACATGTAACAAGCTCTCAAGCAGAGCCTGACAGGCTCATTTGATTTGTTCCTGCTACCAGAGCAGCTCAGTTGTTGAAATCCCAACAGCAATTAGACAACCTGGAAAGAGCCTCCTTTTTTTGTTCTTTAAAAACTCACAGCAAGTTGCATCAGGCAGGACAACAGCCTGGTCAGCTGAGGTGTTAGATGAACCAGCAGCAGCACTCAGAGGTACTTATTTACCTGCCTTTTTTCCTTCCACCTGCCTTTTCTGCTTTCACCACACACACACAGATGTTGTGGGGTCTTTCATATTCCTTCTTCTTTATTTCCACCTGCCTGGATGCTTCATGCGGGAGAGCCATGAAGGGTGGAAGACACCGTGAGTCAGAAAGATGTTTCCTGGAGCAGCTTCCATGCTTTATTCCCCCTGACAAGATGCTCACCCTGCTTGTGGCTGCTGTGATGCAGAGTATCTGGGCCACATCATCCTCCCAGGCTCACTGCCTGGGAAGACACGAGCAGTGGTGGTGTGGCACGACCTCGGCACAACTTACACCCACTGCACAGCTGAAGGAGGGGAGAAGGGGAGTTCCTGCTCCAGAAATGTGCTGGATGCAGAGATGCAGTGCCCAACTCCTCTGGGTTTGAACCACAGGCTCTAACTATTCTATAGTCAGAGAAACCACTTGAGGAGCTGGGACTAACTTGGCATTGCTTTTACACTGAATAAACAGCAAGCACAGGAGCACTGGGGGTGGATGGAAGACTCTTGTGAATTAAAGAGGGATTTTCATGGCCAGGGCCGGCCCAGTCCATCTTTGGGCCACAAATCTCCATTTCAGATGTTGGAGAAACCCACAGGAGGGGAGAGAATCCCTTGGCACACAGCAGGACCCCTGCGCTGCGGCGAAGAAATGAGAGGATATTGTGACATTTACCAGATGCCAAACAAACCCATGCTTTCATTTGCCTTCCTCTTGCCAAGGAAGGAAGTGTAACAAATCCTCTTCTCCCAAAAAGGTAACTCTTAAGGAGCTGATCTCAATGGCAATCTCATCTCTAGATCCTCCTGATAAATTCAAGCCCTTCTTCCACTCATGACCTGTTTGAATATCAGAGATATTCAAGATCAGCAGAGATACAAAATTTACCTTGTTTAAAGGCAATTTTAGATGGTCACCAATGAGAAACCTTTTTGCCACGACTTGGTCCAGACCACATCCAGAATGTTTGCCCAGTGCCTGGCACAATGGATCTGCTGAGCTGTCAGGGAGCATCGCACAGGCTGGACTCGGCCAAGAGTGAAAAACTGAAGTCTGAATAAAAACCCATTGTCCCCAGATTTATGGGCTACAGGGACTGACGTAGTGACCATGGTTTTAAATGCCAAGCTTGGCTTCATTCAGGAGCATCACTCCCTCAATCTGTTTGGCTGCACGTGGAGGATGGAGGAAGTAGCTCCAGCCTGAACGATTTCCAGACAGGCTCTCCTTGAAGACTCATTATCATCCAGTCTCTATCTCCCTCGGCCAGGAGAGCCTTCTTGGTATAAAACTATACTTTAATTCTTCTGCAATCACAGTCCTTAAAACAACGACGCTGTCCTTGTTTTTCCTAGAGAAACTCCTCTTATCTTTTAACGTCTTCAGATTAAAGGATCCATCGCAGTCCTGAGATGATGCAACCTGTCAAGCTCAGTAAGGCCAGCCAAACACAAATGTGTATTAAAAAATATCTTTCCACAATGTCTCTCATTAAAAATTGACCACTGGACACAAAGGGAAAGGACCGGATGCTCCTACAGACATAGGGATCATCACATGTAAGTGAAGGGAGAAAGATGAGGGGAACAAGGGGTGGTTACCCTTTATTCTCATGCCCATGGCTGGAATTCCAGAAGCTTAAGCAGGTTTGGCTGGTCAGAACCAAAACAAAATGTAATTCCTGGATGTGAACCGCTGGAGTTTGACAGTCCAACTTCCCTTCTCTGATGTGTGTCTCAAACTGGAGGGTGACACAGTGACTGCAATCATTTAGTGTCAAGAAAAGATAAATCCAAGACAATTTCCCCCAAAGCCTTGTGGCTGCAGTGAAGGGTTTTCATTCCAGTCACGTTAAGTGCATGCCAGCTCCTTCGGGAAACACGTCTCCCAGGCCCAGGGAAGGTGCTGGGGTACACCTGAGAATGATAATTCTGTTTCCTTCAACGTGCACACTCCAAGCTGGCAGCTCATGTAACCTCCCTGAGAACACTGAAAAGGTCCTAAAACATCTCCCCACAGCAAAAGGAGCAGTGCTGCCTGGTCCTTTGGGAGAACATCAACTCCTCCATTTCCAATTGCTTTTGGGGTCCTCCCACATCACCCTCAGCATGTTTTCCCACTGGTACCAGTGTCTTGCTGAGCTCCAGGCTTGCTGAGGGTACAAGGTCAGCAGATGATGCCAATGAAGAATGCCCAAGCACAGAGCTGAGCTGCAGCCCTGGAGCACGACAAAAGGCAGCTGACACTGCTCTGACAGTCTTGATTTCCCCAGCAGTCACAAGGGAATGGATTTACACCTTTCATTTGCTTCTTTACAACCAAAAGGTCACATGAGCTAAAGCTTTGGCTTTGCCAGCTGTTGCCACTTGATTTAATCAAAACCAATACCATAAATTGGCTTTCCACTGATGAAGGAACACTCAAAACCAATAGAACTTGACTACTCCACCCTGGGAGACCCAACTGCACAAACCTAATACCAGGCAGGTGCTGTTCAAACTTCTGCTGTTGTGATCTCAAATTTCCATTTAAGATTCTGCTCTGGCACACTTCAGTTTACCTGGAAAGGAGTGTGTTCCTCATCCCTTACCATCTTCTCTTCCCTGCAACACTTCTATCCACAGAGCTGTTAATGTGGATATACAGTCCCTACTCTGCTGTGGAGTATCTGAGTGATCCCAAGGTACAAGTATCCAAGATCTGGATATCTGCAGATACCCATATACTTGGGAATCTGCAGACCACAGGCTGAAAACCAAAAAGCTAAACTCAAATGATCACTGACTAGCCCTACTGACTCAGGGAAGTTCCCCTCACCCTTAGGACATTCAGTTTTCACATTGTTCACATTTAACACAGACCCCTTCCAGCTTGGCTTCCTTTCCTTCTCAGGTAAATTAATGTGATGTTGCCCATAGATCTATTATATTCCAACTGTTAGTAATTTAAACCCATTGGCAAATTTTGACCAAATTTGACCAAGACAGGGCCCTCCAATGCTGGTATTTTGGCTAAGGAGAGCTCAGCTCCCATCGCTCTGCTAGGTCTCAGTCTGTGAGTGGCCCGGCAGCACCAAACCAGTAGAACTGGTAGGACTGTGGGAGGGTGCTGTGCTCTCTGTGTCCTGGGGAATGGGTAAGAAATGAGATGTTCCTGGGACATCCAAACAGAAGGAGTGAGCTGGGGTAGGTACCGGGGCAGGGCTGTGTAGGGGACATGGGACGCAAGTCCGTAGGAATCCAGTGTCACTGGTTCTGCTGCGCAAGGAGCGAGGTTCTCATAAGCATAACTTGACCTTGCCTTCATAGGCAAGAGTTCTTCTCACACCTGAGAAGTTTTCTTTTATAAAAAACATGGAGAGAGGCTTTTTATCAAGGCCAGCAGGGATAGGACAAAGGGCAACATTTTTAAACAGAAGGCAGGTTTAGTTTGGATGTAAGGACGAAATTCTTCCTGTGAGGGTGGTGAGGCCCTGGCACATGTTGGCCAGAGAAGCTGTGGCTGCCCCATCCTGGGAAGTGTTCAAGGCCAGGTTGGATGGGGCTTGGAGCAACCCATGGCAGGGGGGTTGGATTAGATCTTTGAAAGTTCCTTCCAACCTGAACCATCCTGTGACTCTGTAACAGAAGGAGATTCTCTCTCCAAGCAACAGACTGCCCTGAACCTTGCACTGCACCAACCCATCCTCAGCTCTCCAGGACTGGCAGACCCAAGTGGCCCTGTGGAGGCCCCACTGTCACTCACCAGCTGGATGGCAATCATCAACACCGTCTTCAGGGTGAATGTCCTGTCACAGAGGTCAAACAAATCTTCCAAGCTGGGACCAAGCAGCTCCAGTACCATGGCGTTGTATTTCCCACACGGCCCGAAGTAATACACCTGGGGAAGCCCTTCAGCTGGAAGGGATGAACAGAGTTCAAATCAGTCAGTGGGACAAGGTTAATTCCCTTCCTCCGGCACGTACGTCTTTCTCTGGGCAGAGCTTTACTGTTACCTTTTGAGTGATTCTGTTTGATGTTGCCCAATAAGGAAATAAGTTCCAGCACACACTGTGAATGAACTGAAGGCCAAACCAGTGCAGGCTCTGCTCAGCTACACCCTTGGACAGACAAATGGATTTCAGAGCAATAACACGACCACATGAAAGCCTTGAGCTTTGGCAGCTTGAAGACTTGGACTTAGGGAACAAGACACAGAGTTCCCTGTGCTGTACTAAACACCAGGCAGAGAACAAGCCCAGATGTCGTTGGCACTTGTCAGAGCAGTTAGGAAGATGATAGCCCTTGGAGAACATGAGGCATGGCCAAAAAAGGGCTGCTTTGTCACTCAAGATAATACACAGCCCTTGTCTTTCAGCACAACCTTACACAACGGTTACTCCTATTATACTCAGGGAAAGGAAGAAAAAATCCTTTTCCTTTAAAATAGAGAAAAGCTTTAAATTTTGACCCATCACCATGTAAAAACAGGTGATCATAGTCATTAAACATATGTGCACACACATAACTATTAACATCCAATTGGTAGGAGCCAGAGCCCACCTTCCCACCCAACTCAGCTCAGCAAGAGCACACAGTGTTGATGCTCAGCTGGCAGGGGGTTTTTGGGTGGGTCAGCTTTCTAAAAGGCATTGGAAGGGAAAAAAACCAGCCTCGGTATTGGAACACTCACAGAGCTGCACAGCACTCCTGAAATTACCTTTGAGTTCAAAGTAAATCAGAGCAGCCCATCCAGGAGGAATTCGGTGCAGGGCTAAGTGCTCATTTTGACAATCAGCACCTGCACAGCACTCAGCATCCCAGCACTCAGCATCCCAGCACCAACATCAACTGTGTAACACTCATAAAATTATATGTATTTGCAGTCAACACCTCACAAGCAGTTCCAAAACACAGTGGAAGGGTTTTGTTTTGAAATGTGGGGGTTTGTCCTATGTCAAAACAAGGTATTTGCTTGAATCCCCAAAGATAGGGTATCCTGCTATTCAGTGTAAAGGCTGAGCCTGGGGAGCACCACTACAGAGATCCATAAATTACAGAGCACGGGACCTGAACACAGCGTGATCATTAATTTTATGGCGTGTTTTAAGTAGGTGCAGGCCCACACCTCTGTTTACATAAGAGATCAATAATAGAAATAGCAAAATAATCAACTAATGAAGTGCACGGTTTGGTATCACGGTGTTCTCAGGCAGTGGAACAGGGAAACACTTAAGGCTGGAGTGCATCAGCAACACAGCAACTGCATGTCCTACTCCAGATTTAGGGAAGCCTTGTTAATCCACAGCACTCTTCAATCTGCCAGCAATGTCATAAATGTGGAGCTGAGATTACTAAAGCTTAAATGCTACAGAACCTGTGCTCCCATGTACAGCTCCAAAAGAACAAAATGTGGCTTGACAAAGATTACCAGAGGATGGTTTTAATCTTGTTAACTCGGGGAATCACGTTAGGTATCTGTCATCGGGATGCATTAATGGGATATTACAGAGTGTTGCAGGAATTCCCTGTCTAACCAGAGTTTTGTGTCCCACATAAAACATTTACCCAACCTGGTTTTGGGAGGCTGCTGCTCCTAGCAGAGCTCCGTGCTTTAGAAAGCACTAACAGCTATTAAATCCTCCAGGAAAACAGGATGGTTTGATGCAGAAGCAATTCAGAAAGCCAAACAATGATGGCATGTGATCCAGGCAGCTCCAAAATGCTTTCAAATATCCCCAAATCAACATAAATGGCAATTTCATGCCATCAGCTTAGTGCTGAAGGCTGGAATAATTGTGATGGTTCTTGAAGTAACTCATGGTGAACCACTGGGTTTTCAGTGAAGTCTGATGAATATTTGCCTACATAATCACCTCTAACCCAAAGATCAGCATCTCTACTTTTTTAGAGACAGTAGAAGAATAATAGAAGAGCAGAATATTCTATGCAACATTTAAAACTGAGACGATTATAAATTCTAGATATAAAGTCAGTACTTCTACCACAAGTCTCAAAAAGCGGAAATCAGGAAAGAATTGGGATTAGGACTGTGCTAATTAAGGTATGTGGGAGAATAAAATTGCAGAAAGGCTTTACAGTGGTGAAGGATCTCATTCCCAGAGCAATGGAGAGGAGAACATTTACAGCCTCACTTGGCCAGGAGTGAGCACTGCAACTAAAATTCAGTTCCTACTGGGCATAAGAACCAGGAAGATCCATTGCAGCAAGACACAAAATGTGGGGATTTCATGTCAGGAAGGAAGCAACACAACTGTTTAGTGCTCTCTGGGATACCAATTCCTTCATCTTTACCCCCTCAAAGCCTTGCAGCCAAGAGCTTGGAGAACTCTCCTTGTCTTTAACCTCTGGGAAGGCTCTGCTCTGGGTGTGAGCTCCAACAAGGTGAGGCTGTACCAAAGAACATGAAAAAAAGCATCCTGAGACATTATTTTTAGGGTTTGATTTCCCTCTGAGGGTTTTCAGCAGCAGTCAAGAACTTCCCTGCTGCCTTTGCCAGAGTAAAACTGCTGTAATATAATTCTAATTTCCAGAGCTGCATTGCTGTGTCCCAGACCCAAAGGAGCATCACTGTTGAGCCCTGTGAAGCCTCCCAGCCCAAGCCAGGGCTCCTCAGCTCCACATAAGTTACTGAAATGAAGTTAGGAGAGACACAGGGTAACATGCCCTGAGCTCATTCAAACTCAACTCAACTCACTGGGAAGGGGCAAAGCTTGAAAGAGCAGTTGTGAGCTTGGTGTACATACTAAAGGGAGTCTGTTGGCAGATGAGACTGGATGGAATTTGAGATACAGGCAGCTCCAGACCCATTCAGAACAATAAAAAGGGTCAGCCTAAGAAAATCTGCATCAAATTTGATTTAACCACAGCCCATCTGCATAATTCATGATGTAGCTTGGCTCTGTTTCAGGACAAGTGTCCTGGTGCCACTGAGTCCATTGCCACAGTGAACCACAGAAACTCCATAAATATCACCAGCAGACCTGTAAATACTTAAGTACATTGCCAAGAGAGACTGATGGAGGAAAAAGGACTTTTTTGACTGGGCTGTTGGCTTTCAGGTTTTTAATGGTGTCAGGAGAGGACTGGAAAGGTCACACAAAGCCAAGGTGCCATATTGCAGGTGAGCAGCTCTGGAGTCAAAGACTGCAGGATGAAAAGCCACTGGCAGAGCAGAGTCTCATCCTAAGGACTCAAAGGTAAACTCAATACCTGAAGTACAAACCATGATCAGTTTAATGCAATTAATGCATGAAATCACACTGAAACTAGGAATTGCTCCATGGCATTAAACAGGAGCAACAAATTAAGGGAAGAAAATCCAGGCATGACAGATGCAGGTTTTCCTCTGGAGAACACCACTTTATTACAGTGGAGGCTGCTGCAAGCAGAAATCATCTCAATTTGCTTAACGGCTTTGGTCTTGCTGCTGAGTGATTTGGCTCGGCTACATGGAAAAGGCCCCGCTCCACCCTCGCTCTCACGGGAAGTTTATCACCCCAATAAACACAGACTGATCGCTGCACTGGAATCCACAGGCAAATTCTGCTACTTCAGCAGAGCGATGTCTTGGAAAAAATTCAAGCTGAGCACAGCGAAAACCCAGCAAAGCATTTCAGAGATTAAAGCCTTGCGGCTGGAACGACAGCGAGCGCAGGCAGCAAAGCCAAAAACTAAGACTCTCCTTCCCCCACACTCCTGAGCAGCCCCACGAGACTGGCCTTGGCTTTCCTAAACTCTCACTGCTTTGGCTTTGGCTGCCACCAAAAGGGACCATCGCATCACCTTCTCGTGCTCACGGGGCTGAGCAGTAAGTTGGGTCAACCCAAAAAACCTTGGCTTGGGCTTGAATGCAAGAATGGGAACGGTAACAAACAGCAGGACCACTGCTCTTCCACAGCGCTTCATCTGAGCAGAATTAACACCCAGAACAACTCCTTTCAGCAAATTTCCATCACCAGATCGACCATCCTGGCTGATCCAAGTCGTGCTGTCTTGCTTTTACATCATGACTAACAGCCCTAAGAGCTCCTCAGGCATCCAGCACACTCCAAGAAGCCACATTAGTCCAGGCACACAGACATTCCAGGCACACAACCATTTCCAGGACCGGCTATGAAATGGCAACGGGCAGAGATGCCAGTCAAGGGTTATGCCCAAGGGAAATCAGACTGTGCAGCACCTGCCCCACATGGCAGGCCCGGAAAGCAGGACCCATCTGCTGCAGCAGAGCACACAGACGCTGTGTATGACCACGAGAGGCTACAAATAAACCTCAACAACAGCCAGCAGCCCAAAAGACACCCAACTGCAAGCAGCTACATGTGGCACCTACACCAGTGGAGAGGCAGAAACTGTGTCCCCACAGAGCAAATAACCAGGAGACATCCACAGTTTGTGAAAAGTGATCAGTACAGTAGTATCTGAATCACCCATGTTTTTTGCTCCTAGAGGGAATTGGTTTCTGCTGCCCTTCCATGTGGTGTGCCCAAATAGAAAAGTTGATGTTTTCAATTTCAAGAATTACAGAAGAATTTCAGACCCTCTCTTCACTCAGGTTTCAACACTGAGCTCTACTGCAGAGCTAACCCCAAATTAGATACCCAAAACACAGGGAGGGCGGATCAATCCAATATCCAACAAAGGGCTGATGCTCGACACAAAACCACACTCTATGTGAGCAGCAAGAACTCTTCTCCATTGAGAAGGATGCAGAGACACACCAGCAGCAGCAGTGCACAGAAAGTTCTGTGTGATTTTAAAGCAGGGCTGATGAATGGGCCGCAGATTGTCTCAAAATTCCCATTCAGAGCAGAAAGTTTATTTTTACAAATCACAGAACACAAAATTACACGATGAACAGCATAAATAGCAACTGTGCGAGAGCTGAACATCTA